TTCCCCCCGCCCCCTCTCCCCGCGAGCCTCTCCTGCCTATCGATTATCTGCCACCACGTTGCTTTGTGTCTCTGGCGCTCTGGTTTAGTTTGAGTTTGCTGCTCACTCCGTAGCGCCCCGCTCTCTCTTTTGTCCTCTTCATTCTCTGCCTCATCCTCCACCTCGTCTCAACGCCCCTCCCTCTTCCCCTTCGCTGTTCTCTCTTCTCTTCTCGTTCTCTCCGATCCTCCTCATCCCTTGCCCGTTTCTCTTCCCTCCTCCCTCCAATGCCACGGCATGGAGCTGCAGTCCAAGTCCACCGAGAAACTTCGCGGAGTTTAGAGGAACCCTCTAATGTATTCAGTAATGAACAGAGGGAAGGAGGCACAGGCGCTTTCACTTGATACCCTCTTAAAGAGAAGGCCACTTTGCTCTGCTAAGCATACGACGAAGGCAGTCGGCCGACAAAATATTTGGCGGCGGCGCAGGGCGCGGACGACGTGGCGTGGCGTGTGGCGGGAGAAGGCTGGAGCACCACAGGGTTCTGGAGAAGCCAAAGATCACCCGCCGAAGGCATTGAGGAAGATCGGATTGTAGGCGGAAAGTACACGACGGCTCAGAACAGTTGTTCACTAAAGGTGAGTTCTGAATGTCATGAAGTCAGAAATTTGAACAACACGTCGCTTGTTTCTCTTACACGGGAATGTCGTATCAGAATATAAAAAAAAATAATACACTTCCGCAATGAGTTTAAGAACATATTTTATTAATACTCACCTTTTGAACAATCCCTCACAACTGCACAGTTTCATGAAAAATTCCTACCACCTCGAAATCGCATCCATTACCAGGTACCCCTGACCTGAAATCAAGAAAGAATAAGTTCAATGTACGAACTGTAAACATGAAAGTATACGTAATTTCGGTATTCGTCCGTATTTCATCCTACTAAAAAATCTTTCGACGAGGATTTCAAGGGTCATTTAATGTAATTAATTCCTTCGAATCGAATTCAAGATATTCCCCCTGAGATCACGGGACGATTTTAAAATGCACATCTCATTAATATCCTTTATTCTAAAGATTTGCCTTTTTAAATTGCTGTTGGATATTATTTATCGAAAGGAAATACTTCCAAAATTCCTACAGGTATTAGTGTTGACAAAAATTCATCTGATTTCTACACACCTTAGTAGTGAAATAATTGTCACGCGAAGAAAATATATTTAAACAAAGGAGAAAAACAAGGAAAATATTATACACGTGACGATAAAACACTAAAGAGAATAAAGTGAGAGACAAGAAACATGAACTTATAGTGAGCTTAGAACAAGAGCTTAGAATGAAATTACTAAAAGGACTTCCCTTTCCCGTATGTATGACACAAAATAAACTTTCATTTTTCTACATACTGGATTACTCATCCAATAATTGCATTTTTGTATATAAATTCTCATTTCTTGGGTAAATACGTATTTCAAGATAAAATATACGTGAAAATCTAGTGAGGTAGAAATGAAATTTCTTAGCACATGGAAAAAGTTAATTTTATGTAACGATTACTTTTACTACTACTATTATTATTATTATTATTATTATTATTATTATTATTATTATTATTATTATTTCCATTAGAAAGTGGATGTAAGGAATTGAATTAAAATAATTTTCTGGTAATTAAATAAACAAATTTATTTTTATTTATTCACGAATTTCTAGAGATTTATAGTGAAGCAAAAAAAATGTTGGATTCTTACAGCTCAAATATGATACAAATAATCTCATCTGTTTAAAGATTAATGGAAGAAACTTTAAAAAGAAGATTGAGAAATCTATTGAATGACATTTTGTGATTTTTTTCTTCAAATAAAGGGCAGTGAGTCCTAGATGTATTATAACTACTATCAAGCTGTTTTGTAATAGACACTAAATTTTTAAAATATCTTAAAATTAATAGAATTCTTGTTTTTTTGCTGTCACTATTAAGTCGTTTTTAAAACCAACTACGATGGTTAGCCTTCTTTCGTTTCTAGTCGCGAATTGCAATCGATTTATCGAAAGCAGTCGTTTTTTTAGAATCTGAGGTAATAAAGAAGCGAAGATCGCAAGTTCGTAAGTTTCAAGATCAATAAGTGCGAGTAATATTGAGTTATAAACAAATGTGTGGTACATTAAAAATTACCTACTTATGAACAAATTAATATGTCAATAATTAATATTTTTAATTGTAAAGGCCAAACACAACAGATATTTTTAATCTTACATTACATTTCCATAAATCGTAATGTCTCATATTTTATAAAATTACATGTTTATCGCAAAAAATTCCATAATCATTAAATTTCCTCATAGAAAATTACAGGAGATTGCGAGAGCAATTTAATGTAATTGCCACATATACACACCATAATACTACATTAAGTGGAATCATACTAAAAGTACTATATTATTTAAATCTGTTGAACTAATTACTCTCATAACTATCTTATCTCATGTTTCGATCTATATTTTTAGGTTCTCAAGAGCAATATATGATATCAGTGTAAACGACAAGCGACAAACGACATTCGTCAAATTATAAAACCTTTAAAGCCTATAGTTATCAAGAGATGTATAGCAACCTGTGCATCCGCGTACATAGTTCACCATATCACTCACTGGCAAACATCAAACGTAAACCTACTATATAATAGTTCATCCTAACCTAAGATAACAAACCAAAAAACAGAGTGGAATGATCTAATAAGATAAGGTACCATTTTATAAACTATCTGGGTAGCCAATGATGATAGAAAATTCTACTCACCAAGGATATGCGCAATTATTGTACATATGAGAAGCATAGGGTTTTCTGAGTGAGAGAAAACTCCATTCATATTGACCGAATCTTCCACAAAGATGATACAGGCATAACGTAAGTACACACATAGAACAATACACCGCGAACTTGTTCAGTAATTGTACCACCTAGACGTCACTATGAAAGTGTGGTAAATTCTATGAAGGTAATGTTGATATTCCAAAGAGCATTGATAGAATATAAGTCCATGAACTTTTATAAATCATAACATATAGACATGGAGCTATGAATACATATAAACAAGCCTCTCAAACCACACAGAGAAACTATATAAATCAAAGAGAAGTAAAATAGTGTGTGTTTGGGGAGCGACTTTCACAAAGAGATCATAAAAGAAGCTTATAGCTTCCATGAAATTTTTCAGTGTTCAGTGTATTTTTATGCACATGGAATAAAGATAGAGAACTTGAGATTTTCACTTAATTTTATCACTAACTTAAAATTTACTAACAAAATAGAATCATCATCTAAAATTAACACATCCCATGCATCGTGGTGACAATTTGAAATACATGTATGGAAATCTTTTAATTCACTTCTACCCTTAAAAATCATCAATAAACACAAGCTTGCTACATTAACTAAAATTAGATATAACAGCTCCACCATTACAGAACCCCTAAGAAACTTGTTTTTTCTGTGATAAGCTTTCCATATAATCCACACATATTCTACAGTTATTAAGAGTTATTTGAACAGTTTGAAAAATAAAACCATTTGCATAATGACAAATACGATTAATAATTGCATCCACAAGAAAAATCAAAGCATACCTAAAGATCATAAATATAATACTGTTGATACTTATCTACAGTATTATAAGTACTACAGTATTACAAGACAAAGTGCAAACAACAAGATTGTAAAGTTAGCTGGTATATGGGTACTTCAAAAAGAACGCAATAAACTATCATAAATGAGCATATCAAAAACATTAATTACACTAACAACAAGCAAATGTGACGAGCAAACATAGACTTTCCAATCACCGTCATATAGATTGGAAAATTGTGATAGGATTGGACCAGGAAAGCAACTATCAGAAAATATTTATCTCACAAATGAAATTTCACATATTTCAAACCAAAAATACCTTGAATATCTAGATAAACACTGATAAATTACATGAAAGTTATAAGTTTCTTTTACAATCTCTTTGGGATGGTTCTCCCTCCTATTTTATTTCTCTTTGATTTATCTGGTTTCCTCCGTCCCAGCCCGACCAACTTTAAGCTCCTGACTGGTCTGCAAGCATGTGTGATCGTGTAGTGCATGTGAGTGTGTTTGTAAGTAAAGGGTGAGAATAGAACGAGGAAGAGGAAGGAAAGATCTCGCGCTTCGTGGCTCTTTTGTTACGGTACTGCTCCAGCATTCGCCCGGTGTTGATCGGAGGAATCATAGAAAACTACCAATCAGATCTGACCATAGAATTCTCCTTTAAGCAACGGCTGAATGAGACCGAACTGCCTCGCTAGGATCGAAAAATCCTGCCTCAGTCGTGACTCGATCCCAGAACCCCCCGGTCAGGGACACCGCAGTGAGATGCATTGATGCCCTGAGCCACCTTTCTCAGATTTCTTTACTTTCTCTACGATTTAAACATTTTCATTATGAAGTCTGGCCTGTCGTTTCGAACATCATTGTTGTACATTCGGTCAATATGAATGAAGTTTTCTCTCACTCAGAGAACCCTACGCTTCTCATATGTTCATATCCTTGGTGACTAGGGTTTTCCACCGTCATTGGTAACCTAGAGAGTTTATATCTTATCTTATTAGATAATTCCACTATGGTTTTGGTTTAGTATGTTAAGTTAGGATTAACTACTACATAGTAGGTTTGCGTTTGGCTTTTGCCAGAGGAAGTGAGGGAGACGGTGAACTATTTTCGCGGATGCACCGGTTGCTACATGTTCTCTTGATAAGTAAATACTTTAAACATTTTAGAACAGGACGATCAAATATGTAACATTTGATTCAACTGAGAAGAACAATATGTGACAACAACTCAACTGAGAATAGTAGGTTGTAGAGCGATGTGTAAGTAATATATTGTGAAGTGAGATGTCGTGCAGTGTAGAACAGAGAAATAATGTAGGAAGTGATTAAAGCGTCATAGTTAAGGGAAGTGCAGTTGAACAAAAATTCAGTGTGGAGTTAGATTACAGATTTTTATTTTTTAGGGTAATTTAAATGTTTTATGAATTAGTCAGTTGTTATATCATTATTATTTTTATTATTAATGTTATTTTTATTATTATTGTATTTATTATTAATATATTATTTGCATGTTAATTGTATTATAATTTTAATGTAATTAGCTGCCATCGGGTTATGCCCATTTGCTGTTCAAATAAATTTATTTATCTTATTTGTCATTAACATTGGTACTGTATGTCCCTACTGAGGATAATATCTTTGGGAAATTTTTACGCATTAGATGTTGAATTTTTTCGTGATAAATTTTTAATTGTAAAAAAATATGTGATATTAATATTTATGTAAATATAGTACATGATTAAAAATTATTATTACTATGGTTGGCCTTTACAATTAAAAAATATATATTTACGAGAGAGAGAGAGAGAGAGAGAGAGAGAGAGAGAGAGAGAGAGAGAGAGTGAGACAGAGAGAGACAGAGAGAGAGACAGAGACACAGAGAGAGGCAGAGAATGGGAGAGAGGGATAGAAAAAGGGTTGGGAGGGGGTTGAAGGGAGAAAGAGAAAGAGAGGTGGAGAAAGAGAGAGCGAGGGCCAGAGAGAGAGAGACGGGCAGGGAAGGAGAGAGTGATAGAAAAAGGGTTGGGAGGGAGGAGAGAGGAGAGAGAAAGAGAGATGGACAAGGAGAGAGAGAGAAAGCTCCCTCGTTAGCGCGTGTTAGCAACGACGGCCCGCGGCGCGGCGTGGCGGCGCACGCAGGTGGGGGTCGAGGCGGCGGAGAGCAAGATGAATTCACGGCTGCTATCATTACCCCATGTGAAGCTTGGAGTGGGCTACCTCGCGCATGAATATGCATGCGTCCCCCTCCCCAGAGGCCGTCGCCCCGCCCCTATACCTGACCCAGTGCCAGATCGCGTACACCGCGTCGCGGTAAAGAGTACATGTGCGAGGGGAGATACACTTCATGAGAAGATTCGATGCAGTAATATCTTCCTTTGGAAATAGGCCAATAACCGTTCGGAACGACATATCTAAGGAAGCTTTTGGAACTGGACTCAAAACCATAAATACTCTTATATTTAGAAATACAAAATTCGTGATTACAGTGGTTGTGAACACAAAAAATGAAGTTCAGTGTCCAGTTATATGACCGTTCTCAAATTATCTTTTGTGTCTGGTAATTGTTCAGAGCAATGTAATGCTTGCTACAACTTAATTGAGTCTATGTTATGAATCTGTGTAAGTTTGTATGCATCTGTTTCTGAGAGTAGTTATATACGTGAGTATGACAATGGGCCGTTCAACAACTGCGTATTCAACCTAGGGATGTCACAACAGTTCATACCTTCCCGCTTTATTGGAAACAGCTACGTAATATTGAAATAGTGCATATTCTGCACTACCACCACCTCAGTTATTACTTGTAAACAGCTATCATTTGTAAAATAGCAAGCAACGAACTGTTGCAACAATTTGGCCCTTCCCAACCTAATTTTTTAATAAAGGAAGATTAACATAGTACAGACTCTTAAGGAAAAACGTTCGCAGACATAGGTTTCTTTAAGTTATTGAAGAGGTTACACGCTTTTGTACCTTATTTTTATTTTATTCAATACGCAGTAAATGTTTTTAAGAATCAGATGATATTAAAAGTAATATACTTTACCAGGCATTCTAAGAAGTAATTTATAAAAAAAAAACACTGCTGAGAAATTCGTCGCAAACGAAAGTACTGGTTCTCGGTCTAAGAGATAGGCTGTACAAATCATGCTACTGTCAGTACTGTTTCTCTTATGACACGAGAGAATACCGCGAAAAAATATGGATTACCAAATAGGTTTGGAATCATTTCTAAAAGGTTAATTTGGAAACGCAACTAAACTAAACACAACTCGACTAAATAACATAATATTTTATCACCGCTACCATCTCGACGTTCAACAACAAGCTTCTCAAATATCAATTGCAACATTCGTGCTCAAATTTTAATCAAGCTCTGCGGATTGCTTGAACGAAATACATCAATACATTGAGAACATAAACTGTAGAAAAGTGAAAGTTCGGGATATAAAAATGGAATTAAGATTTTCAATAGAATTCTTGTAATCGATATTGAGAATATTTTCCATATTTTCAATAGAAATATTTTCGTAGAAAATAAGCCTGCCCAAAACTACTCCTATCCTAAATGATCATCAACGCTAAATATGTCAAAGAACTTAAATAATGAGGGTCAGTCAAATGAAAACGACACTAACAAGCATGGGGCGGAAATTGGTAAATCTAGGCGTATGTATAGAAGTGCTCTCTATTCAGAATCAGGTAGGAACAAGACAAACCATCACGGCTCTACTGTTTGTCTGTTAGACATGCTTGAATTGAAGGCAGCGAGTCTGTGCATGCCGGACATCCGTATGGTGGCCGGGAAAGAGGAACAGCGAGGTGTACTTTTTTGACAGTGCAGGAAGTGTCGAGAGGTGAAATTCATTCCAGAATGTCTGTTGTGTGTGATGAACACTGTGAAAACTGCAAAAAGTACGTCATCAAGTAGAAACGCCCAACAATAATGGCAGACGGTATCATTCTGTTGCACAATAATGCCCACCCACATGCCACCAAGGTTGTTTCGAAAATGCTCCAAAAGTGCCGCTGGTAAGCTCACATATCCTCCATACATGCCATATCTTTCCCCATGCGTTTTTTTTATTTTTTTTTATTTTTGGAGCCCCGAAGATATTCAAGGCTCTAAAGAAGCCCTGAGGATGTTGAAAATTTGCTTCAGACGCCCAGGTGCACGCCAACGTACAATGATTATTTCGTAGGCAACTGCAAACATGTTTCTATGAAGGCATTGTCACACTGGGATAAATTTAAAAACGGTTATGGCGATTACCTTTAAAACAATAAACAGCTTACTTCCTTTTTTTACATTAGCCTCGTTTTCATTTGACAGACCCTCACCCCAACGCCGGTAGCACAACCGCCAATTTGCCAACGCTGGCCCCACAGACCTCCATGGCTCCAGGGCCCGCGCGCCAGTGCAGGGCGGTTCGGGCGGTCGGCATCCGCGGCAGTGGGCGTCGGCGACGTCGGCGTCGCCCTGTCGCCGCGCTGTCGCCGCAGTGTCACCGTGTCACCGCTCCCCAACCTCCTCTCCCCCAGCCCCGACCGCCGCTCCCC